TTGAAACCAACCAAACTTGGGATGTTGTGCCATGTCCCCGACTGTGAAACCTATTATGAATAAATGGGTATATTCTTTCAAACTTCATTCTCATTGTTCTCTTGAGTGCTATAAGGCTTGAATAGTTACCTTGAGAAATCATCAAGAGTATGGAATCAACTACGATAAGACATTTGCTCCTGTGGCTAAAAATGACCACTGTTCGCCTCTTGTTATCGCTTGTTGCTTTCCAATCTTGGTTTCTATATCAAATGAATGTCAAGAACGGGTTTTTACACGAAGACCTCAACAAAGATATTTATATGAAACTTCCATCTGGTATGCCTTTCTCTTGACTGACTCTTCTTATAAGCTAAACGCTCTCTGTATGATTTTAAGCAGGCATCTTGAGCTTGATTTGATAGGTCTCGTCGTACTCTTTTGGATTTCTCCTTTAGTCAGAGTCAGTATGATAGATCCCTGTTCTTTCACAAGAGTAATACTGGTATCATTTTTCTGTTGGTATATGTGGATGATATTATTATCTCTGGATCTGATCAGTCTCTTGTTTAAAACCTTTAGCAGCATCCTCACTCGATTTTTCATATGAAAGACTGTGGTATTTCTAGTTAACACAGAAGGGATTAGATCTATCCTTATGAGAATGAAAATGAACTTGCCTTGTACTTCTAATTTTGTCCCCTCTCCTTCCATTACCCTCATGTCTCTGTGCTTCCTTCACTCCCAACTTTTTCTTTATCCCCATTCAATTCCAATACTCTATGCATCATTTGTGCTCTCCTGAACAAGGAAAAGGAGAAAAGGCAATGTGAGCGAGGAAAGATGGGTGACAAGGCAGAGAAAAAAAAATGAGAGACATTGGAAGAGGTGTGATAAATGAAAAATTTGTAATTTGACCCTTTTATATTTTGACTAGTGAAAAAGAACTGTTTTAGAAGCTAATTATCTCCATCTTCGAGAGCAAATAAACTCTATGTAGTTCCTATGAAGCTCTTCATTCAAATCACTCGCCATGGACAGAAAACTTAACTCTAAACTTAATCAGCTGTGATATCATCTCAGACGATATTCTAGTCTCTTTGCGCGATAAGTTCCTATCAGACGTGTTTAGTACAAATTAAAGTTTAGAGAAGCCCAGGATTTGAAGTAATTTCTACCTCTAGTAGCTCAACAATAGGTGCAAACATTTAACAAATTTCATTAGCTCACCATTCAACAACACAAGAGGGCACAGAATTTCAACACAAACTAATGAAAATCTATTACCGGCATGACAATAAGACCAAAATAACCTAGCATGAAGCCAATGTACACATCAAATAGGCAAATATTAAAACTTTTGCCTCTGTAAACCTGCAATTTTATAGGTCTTGGTAGAGAATAAATTTCCAAGCTCAAACTAAATTCGAGTTTTTCTGTTTGATTAGTGTTCAGACAACCAGTTTCATAGTTTGAACAATGTTTTTGATAGACCAAATTCAATCATAGAATGATAAATAGTTAAAACTATATTTTCTTACGAATTGAACTGGACTTGAAAAAAAAAATTAAATCACCCCCGATTTCTTTTCTTGGCCGCACTCGGAATCGAATCATGACAACCCTTCTTGACCTTACATTATACCTAATTTGCACTTAAATCTCAATTGTGTCTCAAAACATGAGGCTTGGGTTCAACTCAAGTAAAAATGGTTCAGGATTTTTTTTTGGCCCAAGGCGAGCCGATCTTTTGCTCGACCAAAAAATTTAGGTGTGACCCAAACTTTCAACTCGGGCCTCATCTAGCCAAGCCGGTTCACTTTCTTTTATTAATATATATATAAACAGGCAGCCTGTCTATTAGGCAGCCAAGCAACAAAAAGTTTACAAGCAATGTGTCTATACTAATGCAATAATATATATATATATATATATTACGGAAAATGATTTCTTAAATATCGGTGCTTAGCTTATGTTAAGCACCGATAACATAACATACCATTTAATTGACGAATAAGTTAATAGTAAGTCCCATATATTTAATTATTCATCAGTTAAATAATTTGCCATATCATCGGTGCTTAATATAAACTAAACGCCGATATTTAGGAGAACATTTCTGTCTATATATATATAGACTTAGCCTGTCATGGGCCAAAAATAGCCTGTGACAAGAGCTGGCCCCTGTGGTTTTGGGATCGGGCTGACGCCCCAAAATGGGGCTTGGCTTGAGCCTCAAGGTAGGCCTACTCTAGTTTTTTTCAAGCTGAGTACGATGGCCTTAACCGACGAACCAAATTGACACCCTTACCCGAAACACAAACCACTAGTTTATGTCTTCTATCTATCAATAACTTTTCTTAATGATTTCTTAGCCTCCAACTTTGTCATTAGGGAGCTACTCTACTCATAGGCTCAATTTAGAGGACAGTTAGTTTGATTTATGAAATAAAAATAGAAAATACAAAAAAATTTAATTTTTGTGACTAAAAGTCAATTGAACCCACGACAAATTTCGACACAAAGAGTTGGAACACACTAAAATCAATTTTCTCTATGAAAGGCACTGGTGTTTCGAAGTTTGGATCAATCTTCGATGAGTTTTCCCCACTAGAATTTGGCCCAAAAACAGAAAAATTGTTACTTAAGAAAATTATCAGCTTGCTTGGGAGCGATTTTTTGCCCCAAAAAATTGATTTTTTGATCGTTATTTCACTATTTCAGCCGTCATATTGAACTTCTTCTCTCACAGGTGGACCCCACTTTTTTCCTAACAGTCAAAAAATCAATTCTCAAAATCACTCCCAACCAGGCTCTATATCTTGCAAAAAAATAAAAATAAATAAAAATAAAAAAAGGCAAAATTTATAATCAAGTTTTGCCCCCAATAAACTTATGAAATGTCCAATCTTACAATTAAGATCGCATTTAATGTAGAATACTAGAATTCTATTCAAAGTAGACTTCAATCTTTCCAAGCTTGAAACATGCGAATGTGTGTGGTGTCGTGCAATTATATAAAATCCAACATCCTTATCCAAAATTGTATAGAGCTCTTTATTTAAATTGTAAATCATTACATATACCCAACGAAAGACATTTGCCATTTATCATCTATGGGCCTACGGCCTACGTAAAAGAGCACGACTCTAATGATATCCAGCTCAAATCATAGCTAGCATTTCATTCAAAGTGATGCGCACTAGGGTCGGGTTTTTACTCTGCTATAAATAGTTATCTCAGTCCATCAATCAACTAGATTACTTAGGGGGTGTATTCAATTGAAACTTTTGAAAATTTTGATAGATTTTTTTTAAGTGATGACTTTTGTGAATTTCGTGGATCTTTTATAGATTTGTATGAAATTAGTGAAAGTCTTTCGTAAATTTCTATGGATTTTTATTTTAAAACTTTTATGGACTTTTGTAGAATTCAAAAGACTTTTGAAGACTTTCATTTGAAATAAAGCCCCTGTTTGATCCCCATTAAATTTAATTACATTACATTACATTTTTCTCTCTCATATTTTCAACTACACGATTTTTCATAAAATAATATTACACGTAAATCGAAAATTTTTCCTCCTTTTTCAATCATTCATTTTTTTAAAAAAACACTATTCCTGCTATTTTTATTTTCAGGTAATGGGGGTCAAATGGGGGTAAAATTCACATAGATCTAATATGAAATCCTCACATATAGGGAGTTAGTTCTCACAATTCCCTTCTTATTCCCATATAATAAAAAAAGTTTGAAAAATAAATAAATTTAAGACCTTAATTAAATAAATAATAATCAAAATTACATATGATTTAATATTATTAGTATAGTAACTTTTAAAAATCAATATATTTAAATTTAATTATAATTTTTCATATAAACTTTTATAATTTAATTAAAAAATAGATATTTTTCACAAAAAAAATGAATGAAAAAAGAAAAAAAGTTACAAGAATCTAGTTTAATTTTTCATAGAAAATAGAGATAAATAATAAGAGAGAGAGAGAAAGAAAAATAAATGAAATATAATCAATTAAAAAAATAAATTTTAATCATACATGTCTATAGAAGGTTAAAATGAAAGAAATTTTGATTTATTTATTTTTTGTGAAAGTCTCTCAAAATCTCGTGATTAATGAGAGACAAATTTAAAAATTTTATATGAGTACTTTTTATTTAAAAGTTAGTACTCCAGAGACTTTTATGAAAGTCTTTAGAAGTCATTAAAATTTGAATACTTTAAAACTTATAGAGACTTCTAAAATTTTTTAATTGAATACATCGTAATTTTTAGAGACTTTTTAAAAGTCTCAATTGAATACACTGTGACTTTTAGAGAGTTTCAATTGAATACTCCTGAACTTTTTAAATCTTAAAAAGTCATTAAAAGTCTCAATTGAATACACTCCATTTAAAATCGAACATGTTTGAATCAAATCGACTTGGTTAATGTCAAATAAGTTCAATTCAAATTAAATGGACTAGAGTCAAGTTTAATCAACCACCAACTCAACAAGATTGACGCGTTAGTTTACAAATATTTGACATTAATATGATCGACTTAACATTACTTTAAAGTTTCTCTTTCTAGGCAATTTCCTTTCGAGCTTGACTTAACATGCTCTAGTGATTAGTCTTTGTAACTAACTACTTAAATTATTGCACCAGCATTAAGAATATTTAATACATTGAGGTCACGATTGTCCGTTCCATTGAATTCAATATATCTAACGTACTAAATACGTCATCAAAATAGAGAAACATGTGAAATATTTGTCTATTACTCTGTACAGTTCAACGTAAGAGATATATACTTGTATAATATATTCGCTAGTAACTTAACTAAATAAGTACCAAGTACATTGCAAATTTTAAGCAAGTTAAATTGGAAATTATAGGACAATAGAATTCAGAAAATGTAAAATAAAAGGAGAAAAACGAAAGACTTGTACCACTACTAACAAAATCAAGAGCAAAAAGTGGACAGAGTCATGTATTGAAGGCCACAGATGACCCCATATCTCAATTATTAATTATACAAATTACATAAAACAAACAATTTCTCTGTTCTCGGTTGCACCAACCCGCAACTTTTTCCTACCGTTCTCATACTATTCTACGCAATCTAAATACCAGTAGTTAGAGAGAGTTTCTGTGTAAATTCATCCGATTGAATCTGTGATTTTGTGATTAAGGGTTACGTTTCGTATATCGTTATCATCATGTCTTGCTCATCGTCGTCGTCAGGATCGGAAGATGAGGATGAGGGCTTTGATTCCTACAGAAAAGGAGGCTACCACGCCGTTCGAGTAGGCGATTCATTCGCCGGTGGGCTATACATCGCCCAGCGAAAACTGGGCTGGGGGCAGTTCTCCACCGTCTGGCTCGCCTATGACACTCGATCATCCGTGCGTCTTTTTTCTTCTAATTCCGCATTTTTATTTATGTATATTCGTTAGAGATCACTTTGAGATGATTTATTTATTTATTTAATTTAATGATTGAACTAATGGTTTATGAACGATTTTATTTAAATTACCGCGGTGTATTTCATTTCATTTTGGTTTATGATTTTCTTTATTATGTATTATAATCATTATTATTATTTATTCAATTTTGGGAACTGGTATTATATTTGTCAGATTACTTGCTTGGGTAGTACAAGCCTTTACATGATCTTAACAAGGATGTAGACTATTTCTTTACATGACAATAAATAAATATATAATACACCTCTGGTGCCTCAATTTTGGGAAAAGAATATGGATTAGTTTGGCAGTGTTCTATTTTTGCGATGCCTGTTGGATCCATAATTGGTCTGTATGAATTGATCTGTGAACTCTATAGTCTCCATTTACTTTTCACGATCCATGCACAATATTTCAGCTTCTCATTGAGATATGCGCAGTGGCCAGTGCAAAATGATTGATGGAAGCTCTATATCTAGTGTGAATATCTGAGCTTTGTATGTTGCTTGTCTTTCTTTTTCTTTTTTCGTACCTAATTGTTTGAGAATTTTAAAGCTTTTTAATTTGTTGATCTCATGGAAAGTTTAAAGAAAATCCATCTTTGATTGTTCTAATATTTGCTTATCTTGTGATGTATATTCTTTCTCATAGAAATATGTTGCTCTGAAGATCCAGAAAAGTGCTCCTCAATTCTCTCAAGCTGCTGCCCATGAAATTGAGGTCCTTTCAGCCATTACTGAGGGTGACCCCGCAAACGTTAAATGTGTCGTGCGGTTAGTGGACCACTTTAAGCATGCTGGCCCAAATGGGCAGCATCCATGCATGGTGCTGGAGTTCCTTGGTGATAGCTTACTGCAGCTGATCAAGTATAATCGGTACAAAGGCCTTGAATTGAATAGAGTTAGGGAGATATGCAAATGCATTTTGACTGGTCTGGATTATCTACATAGGGAACTTGGACTAATACACACAGATCTTAAACTTGAAAATATCCTTCTATATTCCACCATTAATCCTACCAAAGATCCTACAAGGTCAGGGATGACCCCTATTCTTGCAAGGCCCGAAGGGAACCCTAATGGCGGAGCAACCATAAATATTATTGAGAAAAAATTAAAGCAAAGGGCACGGAGAGCAGTTGCTAGAATATCAGAAAGACGAGCTTCTATGGGAGGGTTTGCAGCTCCTCCAAAGCCTTCTAGGCGCTTGGATGGAATTGAATTGAGGTGTAAGGTTGTGGATTTCGGAAGTGCATGCTGGGCTGACAAGCTGTTAGCTGAAGAAATTCAAACAAGACAATATAGAGCTCCTGAAGTTATACTCCAGTCTGGTTATTCTTTTCCCGCAGATATATGGTCATTTGCTTGTATTGCCTTTGAACTTGCCACTGGTGAGATGATGTTTACTCCCAAGAGTGGACAAGGCTTCAGCGAAGATGAGGTAACACCGTCATGCCAGTAATATATTTTATTTTTATGCATTGCATCAGTATGAAATCACCACTATCTTTTCTCCTGTTCTGCAGTATGAAATTCCAAGTTATCTTTGTTTAGCAAATAATGAAGATGGTGTTGGGAGATAGATTTCACCAAGGATTTGTGAATAGTTTGTTTTACCCTGAATTGACACCTGTTTTTGTTTTTGTTGCGTCGTGAGGCCATCTTTTAATGTGCTATTAGATTCCTCAAATTTGTATGTCTTCCACAATGAGCTAAAATAAATTTTGCCACATTGAAATTATGGGTTATTATTCTGTGGTCAGTTGGCTACTTTCTGTAGTAATACAAAATATTATGCTGTAGTAAGTTTTTCATGTTCCTGATTTCATTATACCAGATTGAGCATATCCCCTTTAGTTTTTACAGTTTCAAGTCTGACTTTTAGGTAACAATCTATATTCATCAACAGTCAGAAACCCTACCTGCAACTGTTGTTCTTTTTAGTCTAATATCTTGTCTGGAATTTTGGTCTTTTGATTTCTCTAATGGAAATTTATGTTTGACTATAGGATCACCTTGCTTTGATGATGGAGCTCCTTGGAAAAATGCCTCGAAAGGTAGACATGTCTTCTGTTCTCTTCTGCCTTATCAAGAACGCCTTCTGACTGTTGTTTCTTTCAAAAATAAAATAATAACATTGCAGATAGCCACAAGCGGGGCTCGATCCAAAGATTACTTTGACAGATATGGGGACCTGAAGAGGATTCGAAGGCTGAAGTACCGACCACTTGATAGATTTCTTGTTGATAAATTTAACTTTTCTGACACTGATGCTCGCGAGTTTGCTAAGTTTCTTTGTCCCCTACTTGATTTTGAGCCAGATAGGCGACCAACTGCCCAACAGTGCCTGCAGCATCCGTGGCTCAATGTAGAAAATCTGACTCAGGATGAGGTAAAAAGTGCATCCAGTGTTGAAAAGATGAATGTTGGAATGACCAACCTTCAAATTAAGGTGGGTAAGCGATAATAGTAAATAAAGACGTTCTAAACATGTTTTGAGTTTTGCTTCTGGTTTACTTTTCGGAACTTTCCGAAACCTTCATAGACTTTGATTTGTTGACAAGCTAAAAGATGTAACTTGGTAGTATATTGTTAGCATGAGGAAATGACATCAATGTGAAGACACTGACCGAGAATCTGATTATCAAGCTCAAATGCATGCCAGATTGTATATATAGCTATGTATATGCTCAGGATGCTTGCTTTATTGATGTTGACATTGATTAAGCAGTTCATGTGGCCCAAAAAAGCGATTGCCCGCTCTTTTTTGGGGACCGTTTGAGAAAAGGATCTCAACACTTGACTTGGCCACAGAATTGGAAACTCTTGTATGGAAAAACATGGGTCGGTGATCTGAAAGCTGCTATTCTAAGAACTATTTTGTTATTATAAGGAAGAATTTTGTCACAGAATGCCAGTGCCTCAAAGATGTAGGGATTTTAATACCCAATTGAAGAAACAGGCTTCTGTGTTGTCCCGCTTGAGTGGTCCTTTGCAGATGCAGCGGATAGTAGTGCGAACGCAGTTTGATTACAGTTCACATCTCATATTTTGCTGTAGAGTTGCCAACAATTCTGATTCATTTTGGTGTTTTCTAGAATTTATAACGCTAAATATTATGTTATTATATATTTGGAATATTCGACTATAGATTTCTCTGTGGATTTTCCTACTTGATTATTATTCTTTCCTACATTTTAGGGTGCTAATATAAAAGTCCATGTTTATTGTAAATTTTGATGCCTGTATTTCATCGTCTTCGAATAGAAGCACCTTGAATATGCTTATCACCAACAAATCTGTGAATGGATATCATGTTTCTTTTATCCCAAGTTAGATTTGCCACATTGGGTAGAGTTTGATCTCCAGCACACTATGGACTGTGATTTAGAAATCAGTTGCACTTGACGTACAGAATTGGCTTCACAGTGGTTATATAGGGCACATACAATGGGAGGGGAGGGGAGGGGAGGGTGGGTATTTTTTTTGTAATGTTCCAGTAATCTGGAATTTTTCTGTCGAACATTGTTCTATGCACAGAAAAATTGTTTAGAAATATATTTTGATTTCATGCTAAAATGGGATGTTTTAAATAAGTAAATGGTTTCTTTGATGTTCAGATGAGATCTAATGAAAGAAATTGTTTTTTTTTTTTTTTTTATTTAAATTCAATATGCCGTGTGAGATATCCCAATCATGGTTGTATAAAGCATGGGATCGGTCTAAGATTCAAAAAGGAAAATGGATTCCTAATTGTAACAAAATCCTGTTTTGATGGAATCGAATAAAATCGTGACAATTCTTACAATTCCATGATTCTATAAATTCAATGTCAAGTTGGCTCAAAAATTGGAAAAATTAAAAAGCAGAATTAAAACAGTAAGAATGGGCGGCAGGCAGCTTGATTGAAAGAAATAGTAGTGCTGGGCCTAGCACTTACAGGGGTCATACCGATCCCTCACAAGGTTTGGGTCGGTTTTTTTATTTTTTATTTTTTTTATTTTTATTTATGGCACCGGGGCCCGCATGGGGCGGACCCCTGTAAAACAAAGCCCTATACAAAGGGCTTTGTTCTTGAAAGAAATTCGTGTTTGGAGAGATGATCATTTCTAATGTACTTGAAAACTTTTTGTGAACTTTTTATTTTATGTATCAAGTGAGTTGTTAATTTTTATTCGAATTTTTATTTTTATTTTTTTTGTATTCTTCTAAAAACAGTATTTAAGAGGAGCTGTGTTATGTATACAAGGAAGGGGTTTACAGAAATTCCTCCAAAACACACACAATAGGGGGTGGATATTTTTTTATAATATTTTATTTACATGGAGTCCACTCATGCGAGTATTCTGGAGGGTTAACGAAATCCTTCTCCCATACACACAGACTAATTCTTAATATAATCTCACATTTTATGATTCGATTTGCAAGATCTCTTCACCGATCCAATTAAAAAATATGATTATGATAACCATAGATCCCAACACCAGTTGGTAAAGGTAGAACCACGTTGAGACAACTTGCAAGAAGTTTTGGAGAATCAATGAGATCCAAATGCCTCAATTAATTATAGTGAAATATACTGTGAATAGTCTCTATTATAATATATCCATCACTAGAACCAAACAAGAATTACGACTCACGCTGGTCAGTGGTTTTGGGAGCCGTGAGAATGTGTGTTATGTTTGTTTAATATTTTACACGTTGGTTTGTTAAATAAGAACGTGTTTTTAATGATTGATTAAAGAAATCATGTAAATATGTATCGACTCAGTCTCTATATTTATAGATTGGAGAAAGGGTTTTGCTATTTGTATACCAGATTTGACACCACGGTGTACATCTCTTTCACAATAAAGGGGAGCCCATGACAAAAAAAATAAAAAAATAAAAATAAAAATAAAAATAAAAAATCTCAAACCCCCCTATTGGAGGGGGGAGGTTGTACACCGGGATGTCAAATACAGTAAATACATAACAAAATCCTTGAAGAAATGGTCTATTAAGTATCGTTTGTGCATAGTCAATCACTTCTCATCAAGAGATATATTGCGAAATTTGTTTGTTAAATTATTAAATCACAACGTGAGAGTATTTTAAGAAGTGGTTGGAAATGTTTGGTATGGTTAATTCATTTATTTATTTATTTTTTCTAAAAGAAGATTGGTTGAGGAGATGGTTCAAAAGTATTGGTCAGATTAATGTGCAACTAACTACATATTATAAGGAAACTTAAGGAGTGCTAATCTTCTATTATATATTGTTTCTAACGGACAAGTAACCTGAAGTCGGAATATTGTGAAGTGTAGTTTCCATGAAGGAAAAAATGTAGAAAATGAGAGTTTTAAATTAGATTTAGTGCATGTTTGGTCAAATTTGTCTAAAATTTTATCAGTTTTTAATTTATCAAACTTCAATTTTAACCTCACATCTCATTATTTTTATCAAAATTTGCCCCCCAACCCAAAATCAAAATATTAGATTTTTATATTTTCAACTTTCAAAATAATAAATATGATGATGATGATGATGATGATGAGGATGATAATGATGATGATGATGATGATGATGATAATAATAATAAAAACAATTATCTTTTTACTTCAATTATGCAGGAAGTAGCATTCTAAAAAATTCGTTTAACCTTCTTGTAAGTTCAAAGAAGATCTTGTCGCCTAAGCACGTAATATGCCTTTTTACGCCTAATCACATATACGCTTTTCAACGTCTAGGCTCATTTAGACTTGTAGAAATTTGAAACTTAAGCTTATTGTCTAACTAGATTTTATGCTTTTTTTAGAATGTTGAAAATTTCCCCACAAAATATACTTAATAGACCACATTCATACAAAATTACAATTATAATCTTAATCCAATAAAAACCAAAAAATTATTGTAAAATTATAGGATATTTATTGATTATTATTTAGACTTATCAAGATACTTAGGTAATTCTTACTTACACTAGAAGATACACATGGATCATTGGTATAATAAAATAAACACTTTTCCATTCATCGTTTTCAATTTTTTTGTTTTTATTTTTCTCTTTTTATTTTTTGTTTCTGCTTTTTAAGTATTTTAAGTAATTAAATATTAGAAGATCTACGCTTCTTAAAATTGGTCAACTTAATGTTAGACGTTTGATTTTTGGACAAAAAATATCAGATCTCCTTTAGGTGTACATTTATTAAAGGTTTGAGACCACATTGGACACTTTTGAAAGGTTTGATATCTCCTTATTCTAATTAATTAAATTTTAAAAGATCATTTTTTTTCCTTTTCAAATTAGCCAAAATTATGATAAAACACTTGACTTTGGGTCAACTAATGGATTTTTGGACAGAACCATTCAAAGGTCTTTCAACCATTCAGTTTTGAAAGATTTGGTGACTATCTACTATGTTTAGAAGTTTGAGTACCATCTCCACTGTTCGAATAGTTAGAAACCTCCTATGCAATTTTCCCTAGAATGTATGCAGCAACCAACAAAAATATACATTGTTTCAAAAAATGCAGTTTGCAATAGTTTTGTGATGAAAAATGTGTGGTTGTTTTAGATTTACGTGTAAAATTATTTTATTGAAAAATGTGATTGAAATAGGGTCAAATCAATGTTGAAAAATGTATTTTGATGGAAAAATAAGTCTCAAACAAAGGCTAAAACATATTGCAGAGATTAAAAATGAAAACAGTTTCACCTATAATTTCGAACACTCTACTTGCTACGAAAAGGTTTCATCTTTATTATGAATATTCCCCATGGATTAAATCAAAGATATATACCGAAATGCCTTGTGTATAAACAAATTATGGGAAGCTTATGTTAAAGAAAATTGCTATGTAGTGCTAGAACAACAGTTTAAATGACTACATTTTATGGCTTCAATTAAATGAATCGTGTGATCCTGAATGTTGCAACATCCGAACATATCATGTCTTTGAATGCTGCAATTCGGAATTGGACAAATGGGCTTTAGGTTAACCTACTAATAAATCAAATTATTATCACTCAATTTAAACCAAAGAACTAATGGAGTCTTTTTAAAATGAAATGCATACACAAAGTGATTGTCATTCACAAAATGGAATGCAAAATTGGTTCATAAATTAATAGCAAGACAAGCAAGGACATGTAATTATGGATGCATTGTACTGAGAGCATGATATAAGATCAAAACCATTTTCCTTGCATACCGCACCACTGATAAGCTAATTTATGAAAGCAGTCTTTGAGGTTGAATAACAAACCAAAAGCCGGTGTTGCCGCTCTTATCGGGGAGAAAAAGTTTGATGTTTTATATGGTCACTCAAAAATAAATGAAAGGCCAAACAGAGGAGAATCACTAGTTTTACTAATCGTATGTGAAACTTCTAATGGAGGGCCACGTGGAGGTGCCACGTTTGCGCTTGGCAAACAATAAAGAAGAGAGCAAGAATTGCCTTTTGACCGAAGCACTACTTCCACCCAAGCTCCACAGCCGAAACGCTCTCACCCCTTCAACCGAACTCCTTCACTCCCAAGGCTCTCTACAATAGGTTTGATAAGTATATCTTTAGGAATGATTGATGTGATGTTTACATTAAATAAATGTTGGGTATGTCGGCCTAAGTGTGTAGGGCGACTGAACCCTTGTCAAATGTATTTGTCAATGTAATTAATATGAGATAAGATAATGTGACACTTCGATCAAGCGGATGGAGCCACGTATTCTAATCCAACAATGACCACGTCGGCTTGGACTATAAATTGCCTTCAACCGTGCTACCCATATATATATATGTGTATGCATGGCTGATATTTGAATCTTTGATTGAATGTCCATTCAAGATCTGCCGCAATTTGTCTACTTGGACTTTATCTAGAATCAACACCCGTTGGCATCTGTTAGCACGTTTTTAGAGGTTAACAGATTGGTGTCGTGTGTGAGAATTTAGCAAGATTAACTATGAAAATCCCGCGAAGAAAAGCCGGTAACCTTAGTTTAAAAGGATCCCTTGACTTTGAATAAAAGGATGTATCCTTAAAGAAATGGTCACTAGAGGGAATAGTTTGTTTATAATACCAAATTTACCCTTAGGGAGCATCGATCACTTTAAGAGTGCCTTGAAAATATCATGAGTACCAGTGAAGGGAATTCTACACCTTGAAGGGCCAGAGAACACCCTAAATAAACGGAACCCTCGCATGCTACCTCGACATCTCGCCATAGATTCCACCAGCCAAGCAGACGAGG